GGAGATAGGTGTTATGACGAATAAAAAATCGCACAGGAAGGGCGGAAGAGGGGAGGGTGTACTGTGTAGTGGTAAACAAGGATATTACAGATTTCTCCGGCGGCAGCTTCATTATTCAACCGTGTAACTGACTGTTGCGTTTCCAATTCGCATATACTATCATCGTGTTCGCTAGCATAATCGACTGCGTGCGTCTGTGCGTGTCGTGCGTGCGTGCGTGCGTGTTTGTGTTGTGGTGTGTGTTTTGTGTGTGCGTGCGTGCGTGGCGTGTGTGGGTGCGTAACACGGCTGTAGCTGTGTATGTGGTGCGCACGTGGGCTGTACCTGCAACTGTGCGTGCTATTGTCGCGTGCGTGTGTGCGTGGCGATTATGTAGTGGCGTGCGTGGTAGCTGTGATTAGTATGTTGTGTTGTGTTGCGTGCGTGATATGTTGTGTGTGAGTAGTGTGTGTGTGTGTGGTATGTAATATGTAGTCGGTTCGCTGGCGAGCGTGTGTATGTGCGAATGGTGTGTCGGGCAGCGTGTATGTGCGTGTGTGTGTGTGTGCAGCGCAGCGTATGTCGTGTGTGTGCGCGCGCGGTGTATTGTGGTGTGTGTGTGTGTGCGCGCGCGCTGGTGTGCGTATGTGCGTGTGTGTGTGCGCGCGACGGCCGCGTGTATGTGCGACTGTGTGTGTGTGTGTTGGTGCGCGCCGCGCCGTGGTTGTGCGTGTGTGCGTGTGTGCGTGTGTGTGTAACTTAATCACGCTGGAGAGAGAGGGGGAGGGGAGAGAAAGAGCGACAGAGCGATAGAGGGAGAGAGAGAGAGAGAGACGAGAGAGAGAGAGAGAGGGGCGAGAGAGAGGCGAGAGCAGAAGAAGAGAGAGAGAGAGAGGAGAGAGAGAGAAGAGAGAGAGAGAGAATAAGATAGAGAGAGAGAGAGAGAGAGAGAGAGAGAGAGAGATGAGAGAGACGAGAGAGAGAGAGAGAGAGAGCGAAAGAGAGCGAGAGAGAGAGAGAGAGAGAGAGAAGAAATAGATAGAGAGAGAGAGAGAGAGAGAGAGAGAGAAGAGCGAGGAGTACGAGAGAGAGCGAGAGAGAGAGAGAGAGAAGAGAGAGAGAGAGAGAGAGAGAGAGAGCGAGAGAGAGGAGAGAGAGAGAGAGAGAGAGCGGAGCGAAGCAATAAAAGAGAAGAGAGAGCAAGAGAGTAAGTGCAATATACAGCGAGAGAGAGCAAGAGCGATAAAGAACGAGAGAGAAAGATTAGAGTGTGGGTGGTTTTCGATCCTGTTGTTTTTTTAACTGTTTTGCACATTACAACGTTTTCTCGCCAAATATGAAGATTCATGCGCGAATTTACAATTCACTGCCTTTTGCATCAAAACAAAAGCTGTTCGCAAATATAGATTGGCATTCATCCAATATGCCACTCACTGTGTGTGTGTGGGTGGTGTGTGGTGTGCGTGCGTGCGTCGCGTGGCGTGCTGCGTGTGTGTGCGTGTGCGTATGCGTATGTGCGTGTGCGTGTGCGCGTGCGTGTATGTGTGTGTGCGTGCATGTGTGTGTGCGTGCTCGCGCGTGTGGGTGTGCACGGACGCGCTGCACGTCGTTTTGGCCCTTGGGTGGAAAAATGTCCGAAAAACACATTTTTCAGAAACCAATGATTGGAGCTGTGTGCGTGAGTGGTGTTCGTGCGTGTGTGGTGTTTGTGCGTTCGTGCGTGCGTGCGCCCGTGTGTGCGTGCATGGTATTAGTAAGTTCGTTTGTGCGTACGTTCGTGCGTGCGTGCTACGTGCGTGCATGCGTGCTACATGCGTTCGTGTGTGCGTGCGTGATTTTCGTGAGTGGGTTCGTGCGTCGTGCGGTGCGTACGTGCGGTTGTGGCGTGCGTGCGTGCGTGCGCCTGGGTACGGAGGCGGAGAGCAGCACATTGTTCTTGTATTGTGACCTACGATTCACGCTCCTCCTGCCGCCGCTGCTTGCTACTACTGCTACTACTACTACTACTGCTTGCTGCTGCTGCTACTGCTACTGCTGCTGTCTGCTGCTGCTCTCTGCTGCACTGCTGCTACTGCTACTGCTGCTGGCTGACTGCTGCTGCTGCTGCTGCTGCTGCTGCTGCTGCTGCTGCTGCTACTGCTGCTACTGCTGCTACTGCTGCTGCTGCTGCTGTTGTTGCTGTTGCTGCTGCTGCTGCTGCTACTGCTGCTGCTGCTGTTACTGGCTGCTGCTGCGTTGCTGCTGCTGCTGCTGCTACTACCTACTACTGCTGCTGCTGTTGCTGCTGCTGCTGTTGGCTGCTGCTGCTGCGGCTGCTGCTCCCTGCTGCTGCTGCTACGGCTACTACTACTACTGCTGCTGCTACTGCGCTGCTGCTGCCGCTGCTGCTGCTTGCTGCGCTACTCGCTCATCTGCTGCTGCTCCGCTCTGCTCGCTACTGCTGCTGCCTGCTGCGCTGCTTGCTATCTGCTGCTGCTGCTGGCTGCTTACACTACTGCTGCTGCTGCTGCTGCTGCTCTACTCTACTGCTCCTGCTGCTGCTACTGCTGCTACTGCTGCTACTATTATACTACTACCACTGCTGCTGCTGCTACTGCTGCTGCTGCTGCTGCTGCTACTGCTGCTGCTGCTGCTGCTGCTGCTGCTGCTGCTGCCGCCGCGCCACCAATCGTTAAGCCTCCGCATCCGCAGAGCACGCAGCTTCCGCAAGCAGAGCTGAGAAGATGCTGCGATGCCAAGTCCACGTCGATCTCCCGACCGCGTCGAACGTGTGTGCGTGCGCGCCGCAGCCGACGCCGCAGCCGACAACATCACAGCCGGAGACGTCACAGCCGACGACGTCACAGCCGACGACGTCACAGCCGACGTCACAGCTGACATCATCACAGCCGACGACGTCACAGCCGACGTCACAGACGACAACATCACAGCCGACAACATCACAGCCGACGACGTCACAGCCGACGACGTCACAGCCGACGTTGTCACAGCCGACAACATCACAGCCGACAACGTCACAGACGACGACGTCACAGACGACGACGTCACAGTCGAAGTTGCCACAGCCGACGACGTCACAGCCGACAACGTCACAGACGACGACGTCACAGCCGACGTTGTCACAGCCGACGACATCACAGCCGACAACGTCACAGCCGACGACGTCACAGCCGACAACGCGGCAGCCGACGACCAGCGGCAGCCCTCACGCTACAGCCGACGTCGTATTATTCATAATCGCTGACGACCCCCGTCTCCGCGCCGACGTCACCCGCCCCCGTGCTGGCGTCACCTGTCACCGTGCTGACGTCACCGGTTACCGTGCTAACGTCGTCGGTAGTGGCGCTGGCTGCCGTGGGTGAGGCGCTGCGTCATTGACGGAGGCACAAGTGTGGTCGCCGTCGCTAGCAAAAACGAGAGAGCACGCGTCAAGTCTGGCTCGAGTCTCAAGTCAAGCTGCCGTTAGCGCTTGTGATGTCATCAGAGGACGCGATCACGAGCGAGCTTTGAAGTCCGCTGCGCCGAAAACATGCCACCGAAGTTGTGCTGATGGTAGGTGGCGCTGATTGTACGTGCTGTGCCATGATAGGTGGCGCTAATGTTAAATGCTGTGCCATGATAGGTGGCGCTGTTGTTAAATGCTGTGCCATGATAGGTGGCGCTGCTGTTAAATGCTGTGCCATGATATGTGGCGCTGAGGTAGCATTATATGTGGCAATAAGGTAGGCTCTTCATGTCGTATCGCTTCCATGTTGTAATGCTGCTGCATTGTTCCATGTTGTAATTTAGCCTCAGTGTACCATGTTATGTTATGTTATGTTATGCTATGTTATGTTATGTTATGTTATGTTATGTTATGTTATGTTTATGTTATTGTTATGTTAAGTTAGTGTTATGTTATGTTATGTTTATGTTAATGTTATGTTTTATGTTAATGTTTAATCGTATGGTTATGTTTGTTATGTTATGTTATGTTCTGTTCTGTTATGTCATTGTTATGGTATGTTATGTTATATTAATTGTAGGTATGCTTATTGTTATGTTATGTCATGTTATGGTAGGTTATGTCATGTTATGTTACGTTACGTTACGTTACGTTATGTTATGTTATGTTATGTATGTTATTTACGGGGGCTGGTGGCGTGGTGCTATTGTGCTATATCCGCAAGCTTGCTGACAGCGATGACGGTGACGAATAAAGCGACGCGACGACAGCGACGACGACGAAGATGACAGCAACGACGACAACGACGACGGCAACGACGACGACAGCAGCAACGACAACGACGACGAAGATGACAGCAACGACAACACGACGACGGCGAACGACGACGGACTAGACGACGACGACGAGCGACGAACGACGATGACGACTACGGACGACGGCAACAACGACAAACGACGACGAAGATGATAGCAAACGACGACAACAACCGACGTACAACGGCGAGACGACAGCAGCCAACGACAAACGCGGGCGAATATGACAACGCAACGACAAACAACGACAACGGCGACGACGAACGACGGCGATCGACACGACGACGACGACGAACGACGACGACGACGACGACGACGACGAGCGACGACGACAACTGACGACAGCAGCAACGAAGACGACGACGACGGACGAATCGACGACGACGGCAGAAGCCGACGCCGACGATGACGACGATAGCAAGCCGACGTAAACTTGTGAGGGTTTAGCGCGATGCCGTGGGGAAACACGAGAAAAGCTGTGCCGGACAATAGCGGCTTTGGTGTGTGCGGTGCGGTCGGGCGGCGGCGGCGGCGGCGGGCGGCAGCAGAGGCTGAGCGCGGCGGTCGCTTTATAGTAGGAGGAAAAGTGCGTTGAAGAGAAAAAAGGGACATGCGGGCGCAGATGAAAAGTGGGGACGGGGAGGGGCAGAAGGGCGGATAGAGGAAGGAGAGAAGCGAGAGGAGGCGGGGGATCGAAAAAAAGATAGGCGGCGGTCGCTTTATAGTTGAAGGAGAAAAAAGAGGAAAAAAGCCGCGTCGAGAAGGGGACAAAAGCGCAGAGCGAGAGAAGAGAGAGAGAGAGAGAGAGAAGAGAGAAAGAGGAAAGAGAGAGAGAGAGAGAAAGAAGAGAAGCGAGCGAGAGAGAAGAGAGAGAGAGAGAAAGAGAGAAAGAGAGAGAGAGAGAGATGAGAGAGAGAGAGAGAGAGAGAAGAGATGAAGAGAGGTGAGCGAGAGGAAGGGAAGAGAGGAGAGAGCAGTAGAGAGAGAGAGAGAGAGAGAGAGAGAGAACGAGAGAGAGAGAGAGAGCGAGAAAGGAAATCAGGGACAGAGACGAGAGGCGTAAGACAGAGAGAGAGGGAAGAGAGAGAGAGAGAGAGAGATGAGAGAGAGAAGAGAGAGAGAGAAGCGTTAGCAGGGAGAGAGAGCGGACGAGAGAAGAGAGAGAGAGAAGAGAGAGAAGAGAAGAGACAGAGAGAGAGAAGAGAAGATTAAAAGAGAGAGAGAGAGAGAAGAGAGAGAAGAGAGAGAGAGAGAGTAGAGAGAACAACAAGGAAAAAGGACGGGGAGGGACAGAACAGCATGAACACGAAACGCTCACTAACTGCAGGCCTATCCTCTACAGCCCTTCCGCTTCTCGTGTGCCTACAGCCTTCAACGCTTACTCTCGTACGAAAAGCTAGGAAACGCAAGTACGCAGCTGTGCTAGCATGGGCGTGAAGTAGTACATTGCCATGAGCGGGTTGCTCAGCTCTGGCGGGAGCTTACACTGCCGACACGAGCTGGAGCGACAGGGCAACACGCTGCTGCAATCCCTCTGTGTAGATGAGGGGGAGGGGGAGAGAGAGAGAGAGTGGGAGAGGGGGAGGGGGAGGGAGGAGAGCGAGAGAGAGAGAGAAGCGAGAGAGAGAGAGAGAGGGAGAGAGAAGAGAGAGAGAGAGAGAGAGAGAGATAAGAGAGAGAGAGATAGAGAGAGAGAGAGAGAGAGAGAGAGAAGAGAGAGAGAGAGAGAGAGAGAGAGAGAGAGAGAGAGAGAAGAGAGAGAGAGAGAGAGAGAGAAGAGAGAGATGAGAGAAGAGAGCGAGAGAGAGAGAGAGAGAGAGAGAGAGAGAGAGAGCGCGCGCAGCAAGAGAGAGAGAGAGAGAGAGAGAGAGAGAGAGAGAGAGAGAGAGAGAGAGATCAGAGAGAAGAGAAAGAGAGAGAGAGAGAGGAGAGAGAGAGAGAGAGAGAGAGAAGAGAGAGAGAGAGAGAGATAGAGAGAGAGAGAGAAAGAGAGAGAGAGAGAGAGGGAGAGAGAGAGAGAGAGAGAGAGAGAGAGAGAGGGAGGGGAGGCCAGGAAAGGGAGGAGGGCGAGGCAGCGTACACGATGAGAAAAGACAGCCAGACTGCAAACGACAGTAAGTGCATAAAATCCTGCGAATCTATTTCCACAGCTGGACCATTAGGCGATCGAACCTCCACACCGATAGCACGTGACACAACAAGAAAGTCTACACACGCTGCAGCAGCACCCCCTAGCGACGCGTCGGCCACCCGAAAATCGGACACGAGTTGCTGTCCGATCCGAAATCCGAAATCGAATCCGATCCGGCTCTGATCCGGAACTCGCCCCGGATGTGCGTGTGACAATGGACAGACGAGAAAAAGAAGGACGTTACTTTCGCAGGAAATCTCGCGCGGGATGCGGCCCGGCAGGGATGGGCACACTCCCCGACTCCCGCGCCGCCGCGGGAGCTCCGACAGGGATGCCCACGCCCACCGATTCCTCGTCGCCGACCGCCGCGCACCCTGCCGGCGACATTTACGCGCTCTACAAACCGTCGGGGTGTAGCGAGAGCTGCTGTGCGAGAAACGCAGTCTCCCTGGACACTCCCGCCTCCTCCCCGCGTGCGTGCGTGCGCGCGCGCGTGCTGCCGCCGCTAGCGCCCGCTTCCTGGATCGTCTGTTCCGGGGGAAAAAGTTACGAGATGGTGCGGAGAACCCCGGAGCCGTCGCGGGGAGGGGGAGGGGGAGGGGGAGGGGGGAGACCGCCATACGAGAGAGTGGTGCTCGTACACAGGCGGACCGTGACGCCGCCGCCGCCGCCGCCGTCGCTGCTGCTGCTGCCGCGCTCAGCGCGCATGCGCAGACGACTGCAGGCGGATGCACGCGGCGACGGCAGCAGCAGGACGAAGTTGGATGTCAACAGCAATGTTTGTGACAGCGACAAAGTTACGGACTGTGACAGTGACAAAGTTGCAAGGTGTCATCGTGTCAAGGTTACAGATTCTGACAGCGACAAAGTTACGGACTTTGACAGCGAAAAGGTTTCAAGGTGTCACAGTGTCAAGGTTACAGGTGCTGACAGCGACAAAGTTACGGTCTTTGACAGCGACAGAGTTACAGACTGTCGCGGCGAAAAGGTTTTAATGTGTCACAGCGACAAAGTTAGGGACTTTGACAGCGACAATGTTGCATATTGTGACAGCAAAAAGGTTTCAAGGTGTGACAGCGAGAGGGTTGTAGGCTGTCACAGTGATACAACTATAGGCTGTGACAGCGACAGAGTTACTGACTGTGACAGTGACACAACTACAGGGTGTCACAGAGACAAAGTTGCCGGCTGGGACAGCGACAAAGTAGGGTTAACTACTGATTGTGAGAACAAGGAGGTAGGGCTGACTACAGACTGTGAGAAAGTGACTGGTCAGGCTTCCATCCTCAAAACATCGAGATGGACAGCGGAGACGATAGATGAAATAGACGCAAGAGAAAAGTATCAGTCGACGAAGAAAGCCAAAACCGAAGAAGAAGCTAATATCACAGAGGAATCTAAAATTACAGAGGAAGCTAAACTCATAGAGGAAGCTAATATCAGAGAGGAAGCTAATATCACAGAGGAAGCTAATATCAGAGAGGAACCTAATATCAGAGAAGAAGCTGAGCCGACAGAGCACGATGACATGAAAGAGAAAGCCGACACCAGAGAGAAAGCTGACACCAGAGAGAAAGCTGACGTCAACGAGACAGGTGAAGCCAAATTGAAATTGAAAAGAGAGACGACGAGTAAAACGGCGACAAGAGAGAAAGATGGGACGACGGTGTCCGGAGACGACAGTCGTGTCGTAAGCACGTTGGTTAACGGTATCCATAGCAACAGCCCGGATGTAGCGTCGTCGTTTCCGGATGTAGCGTCGTCATTCCGGGATGTAGCGTCGTCGTCACCGGATGTAGCGTCGTCGTCACCGGATGTAGCGTCATCGTTCCCGGAAGTAGCGTCATCGTTCC